ATTATAAAAGCTGACGTTTCGAGCGTTAGCCCTTTGTCGGAGCGAATTGGGGAATTGTGGGTTGTGTGTGCTTTTAAAGGCAGAAAAAGGAGCTACATGATCGGTGGGAACATGGCAATGAGAAAAACACGAATAAATTAGTGGAATGAAAAGCGTTGATTGATACCTGTGGGATTTAGACTGCTGGTTTGAAAGATGATCTTTTGTTCAAGAGTTTTGCGGCTTTCCGTGCTACCCAAGTGTAAGGAAAGACCGCAGATTGCCATGGCTGTGTTGCTTTCAGTTAGTTTTCTTTTGAATATCTTAATTGGGATGGCCGGGTCCTTAAGTATTGCTCTTGAGTGTAGTAGGTTTTGAATAAAGCTGCATTTCTCCATCACTGTACGTGTTCTTGAGGTTAGGTTAAGTCAAATGATATTTTGATACAAAAAGCAATATTTTCTCCTGTGTGCAACTCTGTTTTTGAGTGACCTTTCTCTCCCAGTAAAATCAACTTCTGTTTTCAGTGATGTATTTGACCAAAATTTGGACAGGGTATCTTCTGTTCCTAGGGTTATTTTGAAACCTATGTTTTCAGCATGAAAAAGTGTAGTGCTTCCCCTTTTACGAATCCTTTCTTCGTGCGTAAAGGATGATGCGAAAATAAATTTGTGTATTGAAGGACTCAGTCTCTTTCTAATGCATTAATTTTGTCCATCAAGGGCCAATTCCTCACCTTTGCACACTTTTGTGATAGAGAATGGTTTTATCAGCTGTGAATTTGTTAATCTGTTGGCTGGTTCCTAATGAGCTGCTTGCATTACTCGATCTTTTATTCTTCAGCTTTTTCTCTGCTTTCTTTTGCGATTTTTTTTCTTTTACTTTGGTTATGCTGCAGCCTTGTCATCCATTTCTGAAGTGGCAAAGAATGTACTCATACAAGATTCAACTTTTCTATTGCCTGTTTTTGGTCTAAAATTTACAAGAAGCTTGTCAACCTTGATCAGTATAGCTTTCAATCCTGTGGCTAATAAATTCATTTACATCACTCTTCATTGATATTGATGTTAGCCCATTAATTGTATCTTAGGCTTTTCGGGCATGTGTCCCCCTGGAGATGAACTTGTAAGAAGAGTCTGATAGAGTTCTTCTTCATGTAGAGTCTGAATCATGGAAAAAACCATAATTCTGATTGATAAGTTTTTTTTTTTCAGGGTATCATATTTCGTGAACTAACTCTACCAAATCATTCAGGAGATGATCGAAAAGCTATCTACAATGGCATGATCAGTACTTTGGCAAGGTTACACAATATTGATTGGAAGAGTTTGGGACTTTCTGATTTTGGCTATCAGTCCAATTACTTAAGGAGACAGGTAATTTGGAACTTGGTCACCTTTCAGGTGGCTCTAAATTATAACATTGTGATCCTCCTTCAGGGGTAAACTGTTTGTTTTTTTTTTTCATATTTGAATGATTAGGGTGAAAACTGGAGTTTCCTTTTGTCCAACAGCAAACGCTCAATTCAGGCATTCCAGCTGCAGGCCTCTTTTTTACTGGAATAGTAATTGAGAATGCTTGGAAAAAATGTCCACCTTCTGTCTTCAGTGACTAGGAGGGCCAATGCAAGACTAGCAGTGCAATCAATGTACATGGACGGAACTAATGTTTGCATGTTATTAGAGACTCTAACCCAAACTTTAGCAGTAATCAGAAATGGGCTTATTGAGGTTGAATTTGAGTCAACCCATGGACTGCACTTCTTGATACAGTACTTCTTGATACTTGCTCAATTATCTTAAAGAGGAATGAGATACAAATCACCCCAGGGATGCTGATGTAATCAGTTTTTGATTATGACAACATGGTACAAGTTGTTGAATGAAGCACTCTAGTCAGTCCTATCAGAGGACAGGACAGGGTATACTGGGGCAAGCAATCAAAAATCTTATTAAAAGTAAGACATAAAAGCCACATTTTTTTTGGAAAATTTTCTCAGTACATGTCTTTAAGCCCTTACAGTACTATCCTATGACAGTAGTGAACTAAATTTCATTATTGGATAATAATACAGATATCAACCTGGAGGAGACAGTACAGAGCCTCAGAAACACGTCACATTGACTCTGTGGAAAGTCTGCTATCCTGGCTTGAGAACAATATTCCTGTTTGGAAGCAAAATATAGGTAACACCATTTTCAATAAGTTAACTTGCATATTAATTATGTGTTTTGAAAAGTCAGGTTTCATTCCACAGTGCTTGTAACACATTATTTTATCTGTTACATCTGTTTTTTAGCATGATTGACCATCTTGTTGCCATAATTTATAGTGCCATCCTGTGCATCTTCTATTCTTACCTTCCTCAGGGCTCGTGACTTAGCTTGTTATTGCAACTAATAATCATGGAATACAATTCTGGAAAAAACAATTTTGTGTTCTGGAAGTGTGAGTTCTGGTGGGTCTTGTGGGTCTTTGAGTCAAAATTGGTTTGTTTTTACAAGCTTTAACCATGCACAGCCACAACTTAGCTGCGACTATTTTGGTTGCCTGCATGTTGAACTGGAACAAACCTTTGGTGAATTATTTTCTGGTGAAAGTAGGCAATTTGGTAATTTATGTTTGACAGTTACACAGGAGGCTGTATATACCGGTAGTTTTATCTTGTCAGACCATTTAAACCAAAAAGAGTATTTTATTTAGTTAAACCATTTTAACTGGTAAGGGCCTATTTTCTCAGTAAGACTATGTAATTTAGTTCGTAAGCTGCCCATTACATGAGGCCGTCCACATAAGTCCGCAATACAACAGAGATATAAGGACGAGAATTAGGAGCACCGTATGAGGACGTCTCGCCATATTGAGTTCAATCAATGTTTTAGTATGAGTGGTGATAATTCAATGTGATGAAAATAAAACCTCGATCCAATGCACATAACATCTTGTTGATATGTAACAAGGTAATTTGTGGTAAAACTACAAGACGTTCGTTTGCAGCTCAACTCCTGTGACACAAATACATACATACATAGAAGGGTTAAACTTGGTATCCGTAAAACAGTGCTCGATACCGTGACTGTCTGACTGCTATGAATGATCTGAATAGTGACCTTCTGTTAATGCACGACTGGTGTCTTAACAATTTCCTACTTTTAAATCCTGACAAAACAAAACTCATAGTCTTTGGAAGTCGGCAATTGCTTGCCAAACTCCCTGACTTCAAAATATCCCTTCTAGGAAAAGATCTCGCTCTTGCATCTTCGGCCAAAGATATTGGTGTTGTTCTAGATCCACAACTTACGTTTGAGGACCATGTTTTAAAAACTACCTCATCTTGTATGTCTAGCCTTGCACAAATTAGTCTGGTTAAAGATGTTCTTGACCGTAACCAACTGGTGACAGTAATAAATGCCTTAGTCTTTAGCACATTATTGTACTGTTCTACAGTGTGGTCAAACACCTCAAACAAAAATTTTCGTAGATTACAGTCTGTGCAGAATTTTGCTGTGCGCATCATTACAGGAACCAAGAAATCCGAGCACATAACCCCCACACTAAGAGATCTTCACTGGCTCCCAATTAAACAACAGCTGTTCTTCTG